ATTGTATGGTGTCAGAAAGATACATTTCCGCTCGTTTTCACCACCAACGCACAGTTTCTCGCCCATTCGCTCCATGGCCATCTCACTTGTGGCCATACTGGACACACGTGCAGACATGCACAAACATGTGCACACATTCATGCGCATGCTTACAATGCCAATCAGTTGATCAGAGACATTCGGTCCGGTGGGATCCTCTCCTGGGACGGAGTGTTAAATGAACAGAAATGGAGTGAAAAAGGTGAAAAACTGGGAATTTTTTCTCGAATGTATTTGTGAAAGCGTGGAATTCAGTAGAATTCAATTTCTGCAAACTTTGCCGGAGGCAGGGCTAGCGATAGACGTCTGCCGAAAATCCGCAATCCTCAAATGCTCCCTGACGAACCTATTTCTCCCACCACTTGCGTGGCCGCGAGGCTTAGAACAAAAGTGGCCAGGTCGCATGCTGCCTTGTCCGCAAGTTTGTCGGACTGCAGCTGCCGAGCACTCTACTGACACGCACTACTGACTAACTGCTTTTGCTCGGCCGCCTCTGATTGGCGCAGCACAATCCCTGGAGAATTGGGCTCGCCCTTTGTGGCGATGAAGGATCCGACTGGCAGACGACCGGTCGACAGTGAAACCAGTTGCTGGCCCGACAATCTCATTCAGGTTGACGCCTTTTATGGCCTCGGGTGTGTGATTCGTCGATCTGTACCTGCTGAATTCCACGACATGGAGAGGTTCTTGCTCATCTCTTTGCTTCAGATCACCTAACAACCGGCCTACTTTGCATAAAAGACCCGCGGCTACTTTCGGCTTTGCTCGCTTTATCGGAGCTCCCTTGATTTGCGGCCCCGCGAGGAGGAGTTACAGCTGAATCCTGCCTCGGACTGCCAGACGGTGTTTTCCTTCCGGCTAGACTGGGCCACAGTTTCGAGTTGGCTCCCCCGACGGGACTCGAATCCGGCCGATGCGGCCTGTTTATTGCTACTTTAGTCAACTTGAAATGCACTGATGTTGGTTGACCTTGTTTTCGCAACTTGGTCATGATGGTAGGAAGACTGATAGAAACGCACCTTGTCCTGAGTCCA